AAATCCACTGCAATAACTTGTAACATCTAATTAAAAAAACTTACCTGTGTCTATTAATAAATAATCTATAAAAATCACACGTTCGTCAGGTGGCGATTCAAGCTAACGCTAAAAAGATGTGCAATAAATTGTAGGTAATTCAACAATAAATGTAGGTTTATCCGGAGATAAAGACGAATTATACTACACCTTGTATTTTAAAATCCGTTTAGCCAGTGACAAAGAAACAGACGAAAATATAGACACGCGGAAAACATTAAGCTTTTTTGTATAAAAAATAGTCTTTTAGAAATAATAGTAGTACCAATGTCCCTTTAAATATATAAATACTGTAATATGTTCCTTGGTGTACAATAAAATATATTTTACTTTTACTTTTATGGGTATTTTTGTTGAAAGTTCGAGAACTCAAGGGATAGGAGTTAAACAGGTAGTCCTTTTGAATCGACGTATAAAAGGCTGCATGTGAATCAGTTGTTTTCATTACAATTAAAAAAAAATTGCCAATTTTGTATTTTTATACATGAGCCTGATTTAATAACTTATTTATCACGATATATATATATATATATATAAATTACATATTATAATCTATTTACCTCGAAAAACGGAAAAAATCTATTAAAAATGTTATGTGTTTGTAACTGTCATTTATTTAAGTTCATTAACAAAAACATTTTATATGTACAAATTAACAAAAAAATAAATACTAAATAGTTTTAACAGTGGTAGAGTCACGCGGCAGCTTTTGCTGTCGCACGGATGGGCCGGCTCGAACCGGGGTGGTACCACGACCTCACAGAATACCATACCATCTCTTTGGGCTAAATTCCGCTCGCGACGAATACTGCTCGGGGCAAGCGGAGCAATAAGACCAAGGCGACTCCTTTCACGCTATCCGTGAATTTTTGCAATATCAGGGGACTTCATTCCAACCTGACCGCTGTCCATTACCATCTAGAGACGGCGAAGCCAGCCTTGCTCTTTTTAACCGAGACTCAGGTGTCCTCTCCGGCTGATACTTCATATTTCTCCTACCCGGGGTACAAATTTGAACACTCCTTTGTGGCCCGGGCTGGAGTTTGCGTATACGTCAGAGAGGACATCTGTTTTCGACGCCTCGGCAGTCTTGACAGTACTTCACCTACGCGGATCCCAGATGTGGAGGATCATGTACATTCCCTGTTGGACCTTCTGCTGACTGCTCATCCGGACGGATAGCAGGTCTCCGTCGATGCCCCTCTGGGCTCTTCGGACCATTATCTGATCCGAAGTACGGTGCCACTCACGCTTCCATCGCAGTTGCGATCTGCAGCTTGCCGCCGTGTTTGGCACTATAGGCCGGCCGATTGGGACGGGATACGGTCTTTTTTTGCAGCCTATTCTGTTGCCGATTCTGTCGCTGATGTGGTACTTCAGGCATTGTAATTATTTATTCGATCATCTTTAGTGCCTATCGGAGGCAGAAATCAGCCATGGGTTGGTCACTGTTGTAAACTTGCATCACGCTATTAGCAGGAGTGGTACTGGGCCTGGGATAACGCATCAACGTCTCGGGATGTAAGCACCAGCGCTCTTAAAAAGAAGTATAATTCCGCTCCAGGTCCTTCAAGTGTCATTGCCAAGGCAAAGTCAGAGCACATTGGCAGAATTGGCGAGAAACTAGTTCGCCTCCCTTCGGGAACACGTGCATTCTGGTCTCTCGCCATCTCTGCGCAGGGTGGACGACTCACTGGCCCATGACGCAAAGGAGAAAGCCGATCTGCTAGGCTCTCTTTTTGCTTCCAACTCGACTCTAGATTACGGGGAGAACACACCGCCGACCATCCTGCGGTCTGAGTGCTCTATGCGGGAAGTGCTGTTTACACAGGGCTCGGTGCGTAAAGCACTCCTCTCCCTGGACGTCAACAATTCGAGTGCGCCAGTCTCGCCTATTGTGCTGAAGACGTGTGCTACGGAGTTGGCACCGGTTTCAAAGCGTCTTTTTCGGTACTCCTTCTCCCTAGGCGTAGTCCCGAACTCATGGAAGACAGCTTTGATGCACCCGATCCCTAAAAAAGGCGACCGCTCAGATCCGTCCAATTACAGGCCTATCGCTATCACCTCCTTGTTCTCCAAAGTAATGGAAACCATTATTAACAGCCAGCTCATGCGGTACCTTGAGGATCACCAGCTAATTAGTGACCGCCAGTACGGTTTCCGTCGAGGTTGCTCAGCTGGTGATCTTCTAGGTTACCTAACTCATAGATGGGCGGAGGCAGTGGAGTCCATGGGGGAGGCGTTGGCCGTTTGTTTGGACATAGCGAAGGCTTTCGATCGGGTTTGGCACCGAGAAACTTACCGAGAAATTGTGCAATTGGATCACCAGTTTTCTTGCAGATCGGAGCATCAAGGTCGTAGTAGACGGTGCATGCTCCGATTACAAGCCCATTAACGCTGGTGTTCTACAAGGCTGCGTGCTATCACCAACGCTGGTTCTTCTGCATATCAATGATATGTTGCAAACCAGTAACATTCATTGCTATGCAGACGACAGCACTGGTGATGCTTCATACACCGGTCGTGCCAATATTTCTCGGGAAAACGTCGCCGAGTCCCGGAACAAACTTGTGTCTGAAGTCGAGACGTTGTTGAACAAAGGCTCAGACTGGGGGCGACTAAATCTAGTCCAGGTCAATCCCCAGAAGACACAAGTTTCGCGTTTACCGCTAAAAAGAATCCCTTTGTTGTATCTCCTCAGTTTCAAGGCACTCCCCTTGTTGCCTCAGCCAGTATCGTTATCATCGGTGTCGACATATCGAGTGACGTGCAGTTTCGTGGTCACTTGGAAGAGAAGGTCAAATTGGCCTCTAAAAAGCTTGACGTGCTCAGCAGAGCGGAACAGTGTTTCATGCGGGCACACTGCTTGCTACTTTACAAGGCGCAGGTTCGGTTTCACATGGAATACTGTTCCCATCTCTGGGCAGGGGCTCCTCAGTGCCAGCTCCTCCCACTTGACCGCATCCAGCGCAGAGCGATTCGAATCGTCGACGACCGAGTTCTTTCCGATCGGCTTGACTCACTGGCACTGCGTAGAGATGTTGCATCTCTTTGCGTATTTTATCGCATCTACCACGGTGAGTGCTCTGAGGAATTGTTCGGACTAATTCCAGCCGCTCAATACCATCGCACATCGCGACAAAACTCGCGATACCATTCATATCATCTAGATGATTGGCGGTCCACCACTGTGCGATTTAAAAGAAGTTTTCTCCTTCGCACAACTTCCTTGTGGAATCGATTACCACCAGTGATTTATCCGGACCGATACGACTTAGGGACCTTCAAGAAAAGAGCCTACTCCTTTTTAAAAGGCCGGCAACGCATCTGCGATTCCCCTGGTGTTGCAGTTGTTCATGGGCGGCGGTAGTTACTTACCATCAGGTGAGCCGCATGCTCGTTTGCCCCCTCTCCTATAAAAAAATATGCAAAGGTCATAAATAACAATTTTAAATTATTCATGATTTTCGGATATTTTCGAGTATACATTTAAACGAATTCAATTATTGTAAACGTGATGCAGTAATACAAATTATTTTCTTTACAGAATAATGTATTTAGCTAACTCAAATTAAATCTTACATAGATACAATGGAAAAGTAATAGAAAAAAAATATGTAAAAACGCTTTAATGGTCTTACTTTTATGTCAACTATATTATGCACATACACAAAACAAATAAGTTAATATCTACCTACATTATGTTCAAAGCAAATACCATTAAACCGAAGCCAACAAAGGACAAATAAAGAAAGACGCGAAGAGAACTGCTTATATTTCAAGTGATGCAATAACCAAGCTAAAACCACGCAAAAATTAGTATAAGCAGTCGCACAAACCTTTATGCATCCATAATTATTTGCCACCAGCAAAATTATTTTAGATGCATGTGGGTGCGTCTAACAGTTAACTTTTACAGGGTGATAATGAAAGAAAGATGGGTGCGTAAGTGCTTCTTAATGTTGATCAAGGTTTCGGCATCACTTGAAATATACGCAGCGCTTCGTCTATCATTGTTTATTGGTCTCAGCTAAATGAAAAGGTTGAAAATTATATGAAACGCAAAATCATAAATAAATAACTTGGAACATAAACCTTTCCGAGCTTTAGACACCTGCACATGTTTATGATTATACAGATTAGATTTTCAAAAATTGCAACAAAAAATGAAGGTAATATTTTCAACTTCAATATTTACCAAAATATAACGCTGTTTTTTTATCAAGAAAGTTGTTTGGAGTGAACTTTGAATCAGTGATATATTTTAAATGAACTCTTCCTTATTTTACGAATAAACAAATAATGTTGGTAAACCAAAATTTTAAAGTACAATATCCTTTAAGTTGTAAACTTTAAGCAAAAAGTAATTTATAAATTTTAGTCTCAAGTCAGAAATACTTTTTTTTATAGGATAGGGTGACAAACGAGCACACAGTCCACCTGATGGTAAGTGGTTACTGTGACCTATAGACATCTACATCTATCCTCAATAAAGACTCAAAATGCAGATGCGTTGTCACCCGTGAGGACTAAGACGGAATGCCTCTTTTCCAGTAAAAAGGATCTCCGGTTCTTATCGTTCAGCTTAACGCTGTTGTGTTTCGTATGGTGAGTGTAGAGAACCTACAAAAAAAATTTACGCTGGTATTCTGTGAAATGGTGTTCCTTCCCCGGTCGTGCCGATACATTCGTGCTACAACTATACTACTAATATAGCTGCAGCATGGCTCTACCACGTAAACAAGGTTCAATAAGGTTCAACTTCTCAGGTTTCAATAAACAAGCCCCGTGGAAACTTTTCGCATTAAAATGTAATGTATAGAAGTTGACAGCAATTGTCAAATTTTTTGAAGATGTGGAGGCGCGGTTAAGGCTAAGGCTTTCATGACAAATAATCTTCTTTAAAACAGAGACTATTAATAAAATATGTTTCGCAATAAGAACTTAAAAGTGACTAAACCCTAATCAGTTTCCAACACTACAGGTTCTCTCAAGGCGTCGAGTACGTGATTGGGATTTAGATAATATTTTGGCGGGTCATGACAGTGCTCTTCGAAAGCTGAGGTTATAAAGTTATCGTTGTCTGTGAAAACGCATCCGCGACAGTTCTTCAAAGTGGAGCACACCCAACGGGACCTAGTGCCTTTGCTGTATTGCTTGCGGTATGTGTACTTCCGGAATAGCAGCATTTCTTTCCCTTTTCTTGATGTTATGACTACCGCGGCGTCTGCAAATTGAAACGTATATTGAAATATTTGCTAACAATCAAGTCCACATATACATGATCTAATAGATCAAACCCTCTATAATCAATAAAGATTAAAAAAAAAAAAAAAAAAAAAGTCCACATATTTTTTTATAAAACTCTATTTCCTTGAAGTCTAAACTATCGGACACCAATTTGTTTTAAAGAAACTAAATTAAAAGTTGATTCCTTTATGCATTTTCAGTCGCATTTTCACAGAACGGACTAATACGACTATAGTTTTCAATAAAGTTAATAAAAAAATTATTTGTTTGAGACCTGAGATGTCCATACTTTTCAGTAAGTTGTTAAAGCTATATTTTTAAATGTTTTATGTAGCACTACTAACTCTGGATGTTCAGTTGTACTTTTAAGGATTCTGTTGGCACTAGCCCTTACTAAACATATTACTAGAAATAATAATTTTTGAGCATTTTTGCATAAAAATCGATTAACCCTTGCATCGACAAACATGCTTGACCAAATCTGTGTAATTACTGGGTCATATTACTTTACTTGCATGGCACGCTTTAAGCATGTGGTGTGAATGGTGGTGAAATACATCGTCTTATTATGACAACAGGGGTCAGAATCCGATGCTAAGACTCAATGTATAGAAGAATTTATACTCCGACTTCGGAAGCTATTATGTGAATATTTTTTTTGTTCTTTGAAACTAGCATTTACATATACATAAAACACCCCACAAAATGTGTGAGGCAAAACTCAATGATTAAGGCATATCTGATTGTTATTGATGTTTGGCACTGTGATTACAAATCCGCCCTTCAAGATTTAGATTAAGGCAAAATTTCCCCACAATAGGAGAGACCAATGTTCAGCAGTAAACTTTTACGGACTGATGATGAAGAAGAGAGTTTTTGCTTACAGCCGGCCACGACAAGATTCTTGTTCAATTGTTGATAAAGTGCACCACACACATGTAAGTTAGAATGGCATTTGAACAAATGTCGTTAATTCTTGCTTACACACATCATAGTACAACTTTTAATTATTTTGTCCAGTAACTCTTAATTTTAACCTCCGACGAAAACAGAATGGTGTTATATGTTTGTAGTTGGGTATCTGTGTGTTTACCTGTGGCATCATAGCTCCAGAACGAATGAATTGATTTTGATTAAGTTTTTTTCAATTGAAAGGTGTCTTAATCAAGAGTGTTCTTAGCTATGTTTCGAGAAATTCAGCCGTTTCAAGACCACCAGCTCTTTTTGTTTCGGGTTTTTTTAATTTTAATTTTAAATTATAGATATTATACATTATATGCGATCTCAACTCACCACTTTCATCGGGATGAAAATCTTCAAGATGTTTATGCTTTTTATGATCATGACGCTCATTCGTCATAACAATATCGTTCTTATCGTTTAAATCCACAAATGCATTGCACTGCTTAACGGGACAGATCCACCTTGTCTTATTCTTGAATCCATTGGCTTTGTGATATATGTGATCATTGTACTGTAAAATCGTCTTTCCCCGTTCTGTTTCTAAAAACAAAAGAACCCCGTGATCTTTTTCACCTTCAACTTCTTCTGCGTGTTCTTCTAAAACTTCTAAGTATTGTTGTTCTATTATAGATTGGTCACTTTCCTCGGGACCTAAAATAAAAAAATATATATCTCTGTAGAAATCTATAAAGAAATATAATCGATAGGTGATAATCGAATTAAATAAAAGACAGAATGAAATAAAACTTTTTAATATTTAAAGACTTATGAATAAATGAGAAATATTTCTGGAAGATGTTTGTATAATTAAAATGAAAAACATTTACAGTATATGTATATGCATAATGATAAAAAAAAGCCTCTTTGAGATCCCAAGAATAAAAATAAAAACAATAATTTAATGATTTCTTAATATGTACGTTAACACTACGCATCGAATGAAAGTAATTTTTACGGATTTTATTACCTTTCCTTAGCTGAATTTTATTTTATATTCCCGACGATTTGTAATTTTATCAGATTTGATAAATTTACCATCAACATTGCGTGGGGTAAACTATAAGTTTTTCGTAACTCATAAATAAAACAATTCATATGTAAACTATTATATTTACTGCTTTTTAAAGTATTCTTTATTACATTTTTTAAACGTTCAAACCATTTCTGAAAACATGAGGACCATAACTCATGTTTTTCACGTGCTGGTTGAAAGCTATCACGGCTTCTTCTTCGGCTTCGTAAAGGTTTTTTTTATAGAAACAGGGTAACAAAAGAGCACACAGTCCACCTGATGGTAAGTGGATGCTGTGAACCATGTACATTTACATTTATCCTCGATTAAGAAACAAAATGCAGATGCGATTTCACTCCTGTAAACTTAGATGGAATGCCTCGTTTCTAGTAAAAAGGGTCTTCGGTTTCTACACTTATCAAATCTTTGATTATTGGGAAAATAAATAAATCGAATGACGCGAGGCTTGGATTATGTGCGGAACGGCTCACAACTCACACTTTCCAAAAGCCAAAAAAACCAAACCCATCCAACTATAGGCCTATCGCGATCACCTCCTTGTTCTCCAAAATAATGGAATCCATTATTAACTGCCAGCTCATCCGGTACCTTGAGGATCACCAGCTGATTAGTGACCGCCAATACGGTTTTCGTCGGGGTCGATCAGCTGGTGATCTTCTGGTCTACCTGACCCATAGATGGGCGGAGGCAGTAGAGTCCAAGGGGGAGGCGTTGGCTGTTAGTCTGGACATTGCGAAGGCCTTCGATCGGGTTTGGCACAAAGCGCTTCTTTCGAAGCTCCCTTCCTATGGGCTTCCCGAGAAATTGTGCAATTGGATCACCAGCTTCCTTGCAGATCGGAGCATCAAGGTCGTTGTAGACGGTGCATGCTCTGACTACAAGCCTATTAACGCTGGTGTTCCACAAGGCTGTGTGCTATCACCAACGCTGTTTCTTCTGCATATCAATGATATGTTGCTAACTGGTAACATTCATTGCTATGCGGATGACAGCACCGGTGATGCTCTATACACCGGCCGTGCCAATATTTCTCGGGAAAACGTCGCTGAGTACCGGAACAAACTTGTGTCTGAAGTCGAGTCTTTGCTGAACAAAGTCTCGGATTGGGGGCGACTAAATCTAGTCCAATTTAATCCTCAGAAGACACAAGTTTGCGCGTTTACCGCTAAAAAGAACCCCTTTGTCGTATCTCCTCAGTTTCAAGGCACTCCCCTTCTTGCCTCAGCCAGTATCGGTATCCTCGGAGTCGACATATCGAGTGACGTGCAGTTTCGTGGTCACTTGGAAGGGAAGGCCAAATTGGCCTCTAAAAAGCTTGGCGTGCTCAGCAGAGCGGGACAGTATTTCATGCCCGCACACCGCCTGCTACTTTACAAGGCGCAAGTTCGGCCTCACATGGAATACTGTTCCCATCTCTGGGCAGGGGCTCCCCAGTGCCAGCTCCTTCCACTTGACCGCATCCAACGCAGAGCGGCTCGAATTGTCGACGACCGAGCCCTTTCCGATCGGCTCGATTCATTGGCACTGCGAAGAGATGTTGCATCTCTTTGCATTTTCTTTCGCATCTACCATGGGGAGTGTTCTGAGGAATTGTTCGGATTAATCCCAGCCGCCAAATTTCACGAACGCACATCGCGGCAGAACTCCCGATGGTGTGGATGGTTCCACACCATCTGGATGATTGGCGGTCCACCACTGTGCGATTTAGAAGATGTTTTCTTCCTCGCACGACCTCCTTGTGGAATCGATTACCATCAGCGATTTTTCCGGACCGATACGACTTAGGGACCTTCAAGAAAAGAGCGTACTCCTTTTTAAAAGGCCGGCAACGCATCTGCGATTCCCCTGGTGTTGCAGTTGTTCATGGGCGGCGGTAGTCACTTACCATCAGGTGAGCCGCATGCTCGTTTGCCCCCTCTCCTATAAAAAAAAAGCCAAAAATGACTGTCTTGTTCGCGGCGGAGCTCTGTCATGGTGCAATAGGCTGCTCGACTTCTTGCTCGTTTTTTCTCTAACTTTTTCAGACACTCGCCAAACAAATGCCCTCTTGCTACTCAGCATTAACTGCCTTTTGCTCATCAAGTTTGATTGTGCGTACAAAAAACGCAATCAATTTTTGCCTACGCTTCTTACCAGTCTAAACTTTGTTAGTTTGCTGTCGCCTTCAAACACCCATACAAAAGACTGTTGCTTCCTTTCCGGAATATAACAATACATCTATGTTTCATCTCCTCACAATGTCACTATGTTATACGCAGCACTGGAACGTCCGAGATCATATTTCACAATCTTTTCTCCACTATTCAACTCGAATCCCTTTAGAATTTTTGTTCCGTTTCTTCCCGCCAAAAATTAATTTAATCAATATAATTATGATCTTTTTTATGCTTTACAGATAAAACATTCGAAATCCAAACATCTATGAGCGGCCAGGAACGCAGAACTTTCAGTGAGCCTTATTAAAATAACACTGATTCCTATTTAGGACGATTCGCAAAGCTTCAATAGAGAAAATTGCCGAGTGCTCCTATCTATTTGAAATCCTATAATTAATAAAATGGAATCCCAAACCAAATATACTACTTCAAGAATTCAAGATACTATAAGTTTCTTCTGCGTAGATCAGATCAAAAGTTAAAGATTTTAAGTAGAAGATAGCCATGATTAGGTGTGACATTATGACAGTGAACACATCAGTCCTCCAGATACTATGGGTGTTGCAAAATACTCGAAACGTCGGAAATATGAAAATAAACTAATTTAAAGCGACAAAATCCGTAAAATCTGGTTTGTTATTAACATTTTTGTTAAGTTTCAAGCACTTAAGTGGCTACGTAATTTTCTCTTGAAACATTCCACAGAGGATTGGCTCATGATTATGCGAATTCGCCATTGAAACAACCTCAAACTTGTTGTTAACATGTACATAAACTTTACATTTGCTTTGATTCCGTTCGCTGCAGGACCATCTCGTGTCGCCGTTTACACAAAACTCTTTTTTGAAAGTATATCCATTCACAATTAACAGGGTTTTACCAGACGATAAAGTAATGACTGCAACTAAAAACAAACATAAGTTTGAATACCGAAGTTTGTAAAGGGTATTTCTATATAAATATCTTTTTACATTAGGTAATATAACTTATGAAACTGGAACTTAACATCAATAAGCAAGAGGTAAGTGGGTTACCGGTACCGTTACAGTCTATTGAAAGCCCACAGATATTTTACGTGGTAGAGCCATGCTGCAGCTATATTAATAGTATAGTTGTAGCACTAATGGGTCGGCTCGAACGGGGAAGGACCACGCTCTCACAGAATACCAGCGTAAAATAGCAGCTTAATGCTGATGTGTTTCGTATGGTGAGTGTAGAGAACCGGAGACCCATTTTACTGGAAAAGAGGCATTCTAAGTCCTCAAGGCTGACAACGCATCTGCATTTTAATTCACAAACGAGGATAGATGCAGATGTCTATGGGCCACAGCAACCACTTACCATCAGGTGGACTGTGTGCTCGTTTGTCACCCTAATTCTATAAAAAAAAAAAGCTAAACATTGGCCTTCCCAATAGATTACTTCCTATGGGGCTATTTGTCACATTTGCCACGCTTGGTAGGTGGAGTGGCAACCGCAGCGTTTTATTTTATAATTGTTATAAAAAAAAAACGCTGCCACCCATCTTCTGGTTTGTTTCGCTCTGTAGCCTCTTATGACACCCACGGAACGTGGGGGGTGGGGGGGGGGATTGATAATCTAACACCACCAGTCAAGTGTAATGGTGAGTTTCAAGTGTATCGGCGTATAATCTGTCAGCTCGGTCGGCACTCTCATTCGTTGATTAGCAGGACTACTTGGTCCTGCGTGTACAATTAGACTGACGACCGAATACTAGCGGAACCCGCTTGACTAACTGCTGCCGCCCTGCTGCCCTCTTAGCAATGAGAAAAGGTCTGTGCCTAGCACTGGAACTTATATGGCCTGTGAATTTATTTTATATTTTCTTTTATTTAATTTTAAGTGTTTCAAAGTTAACGTTATTTCTTTCCCTTCTATCTGTTGGCCCATAGATACCTACATCCAGGACTTAGATTTAATATCTCGTTATATGTATTATAAAACATAAATATTCTACATCATACAGGGACAAGGAATCCTATGGTGCGGAACCTGGGGCGATATTTATAAATTACATAAAATTATTGAATAAAGGTTGTAAATAATATTCTCAATTATTTCATAGGTAATGCATATCATATTTAATGAAAAAAAAAAAACGGATGTTCTTTGAAATGTATGTATGTCGATTACATTAAAACTGTGTTTATTAATAAATCATTTATTGCTTAAATAATACAAATTGATGATTAAACAATTTTTAAAGAACTTATTATAAGTAAAGAGTGTCTTAAACAATTTCTGAAACTTACACATCGGTCAAGGAGCCAGTTTTTTTTTTATAGAACAAGGCTGACTAACGAGCACACAGTCCACCTGGTGGGAAGTGGTTGCTGTGACCCATAGACATCTACATCTATCCTCGTTTGCGAATCAAAATGTAAATGCGTTGTCACCCGTGAGGACTAAGATAGAATGCCTCGTTTCCAGTAAAAAGGGTCTCCGGTTCTCTACACTCACCATACGAAGCACAGCAGCGTGAAGCTGCTATTTTACGCTGGTATGTTGTGAGAGAGTGGTCCTTCCCCGATCGATCAGACCCGTTCGTACTACAACTATACTAATGTATAGTTGCAGCATGGCCACGTAAAAATTTAAATCTTAATGTATGAACCATCTTTGTTAATAAAATATTGAGGAGGATTGTGGTTGTGGTTACTATCGTACAAGACTATGTTTCTCTGATGATCGAACCGCACTTTTGCTTTGCACTTCGAGTTCAAACGCTTGGAGCAGGTCCAGTAGCGATCGTCTTTTGTCGGCTGGTTGAAAGTGTAGTTGTCTATTAACAGTAAAGAGTGCTTTCCTTTTACTGTCGGAATAAATTTGTAGTGTAAACCTGGAATAAGTAGATAATATTTGATTGAGAACATTCACACTGCATGCACAGACACAATTATCAGAGTATAGTTTTAAATAGCATTATTTACAAACCTCCGTGGTTTATAGATGCCATTTGAATTGATTTTGTATTCAACTTTTAAATGAAAAATAAAATAAAAAAATAGCTTTGGTGAATTCGTTTTATTTGAAAAACAATTTTGATCAGTGGGATTGGTCAAGATGACTTTCTACGATGGCTTACATAGTAGGAAACTGTAAAAATGAATAGTAATAACAAATCTGAGCGTTAAGTCACGTAGCTTAGTAGTTTTCTATAGCGTTAACAATCGTAGAAGAATATCATATTGGCTAATCCCACAGAAGTTCCTCAGACTGTAAAGCTCGATCTTGTTCTCCATAAATGCCTCCGCTGTTTCCAGATAAAATATAACCCGCTGCGTCTTGCACGTGTGGAGTCTATACAATATCAATTGCGCAATTTGTCAAATGCTGGATCTGTCTGTCACAAACGTTCTTCTCAAAGACTTGATAAATTTTACTCGGTAAGTTTTTAGTGTGAATATATAATTTTTAACAATTCGACCACACTACACTGCGCCAAGTATAGAACATCTTAATAACTTGACTATATGAAGCGCGACTTATCGCATCACAGCCAAGATGTGAAACATTATCTCGTCGTAACAAGTATATTGTTTGAACATAACTTCAATTAATCTAGTTCAAAAGTTATTCTAAATGAAGTAAGAAAGGTGTCAATAAGAGGAAGACTTATTGATCTGTCTAGGATTTTAATAAGACTACTACTCTTTTATTTTAAACTTAACTCTAATATATAACTATTTTAGTAGGATACGGGACGGAAAGACTGTGTAAGAACCTCCGAAGGGGGCGGAGTTATGGCCGAAATAAGAATTTATAATTTTTTTGGTGTTTAACCATTTTGAGCCCCTAGGAGTGTAATGAGAATTTTTTGCCCCTATTCAACCATGACTCTCATGACATCCTCTACATGATAGGCTATTCAAACTGACTAGGCCTAAAGTTCGAGTCTCTCCCCAACTCATTTCTAGTCTTTCCTTTCAATTACTTCCAATTATTTCGTGTGGGCTACAATATTACATCACACCTCCAACTGCCAAAAATAAAAAAGAACACATTTTTTTAAAGTTATAAAAATATTATGTCTAAAAAGAATATAAATTACACAACTCTATAGATCGAGATAGGTGTATGGGTAGGTCGGGTGGCCAGATCCCCCTGTCTAATAGTAATTTCGAGATCACAATCTTGTTACTTGCACATTGTTTCGTGAACAGTCTATTAATACTATACGTCTCTACATACATTTACTTATTTCCTTATAAAATATTTTCTTTGCATAATATAGTTGTATTCCACTTTTTACTTAGTTATTAAGTCATTTAGTCACTTCAATCTTTTGAATCATCTTCTTGTTATTCTTATATTATCTGATTTGTCACAACTGGTGAAATTAAAAATGTCTGCAACCGACTTCAATATAAATAAAATGAGAACATCATCAATGTAGTCGAAGTCAATTAAACACGCATTATTAAGGATAACTCAAAAACTACTGGTATCTTTATCTATGTCACTCACACCTATACACTATCAATACTTTTCATTTATAATAATGTATTCCGTTACTTATCCATAAATTTCCTTACATCTTTTACAAACTTATATAGTCTCTTATAGTATTCAGATATATTTTTCAGCCATCGAATGAAGCTCACAATATGAGCACAAGACAATTTAAATATCTCATTTGTATGTACATATTATTAGTTTCAAAATCGTTTGTACGAAGACATTATTTTCATAATCTATAGAAAGAACTTACATATTGAAATCCTACCATTTTCCGGGAAAATAATTATAAAAATTAAAAGATTACGATTTGAAAGTACAATTAATATATAAACCCGAAATTAATTCTTACATTCCATATTAAGATACACAGGACAAAGAAGTCTATGGGAAGCAACGTAATCATTTTCATTATCATAACAACAGACAGATCAAATCACAAATCGTGATCCCAGCACTTAGCGATTTGTGACACCTTTGTTTTAAATTCCAAAGTACGTAAAAAGAAACGTTTGCTATTTTACATCGAATTATGATCACACCTAATTTCAACATAACTTGTACAATATGTTATTATAAGAATGCAAGTAAAATGTACCTTAAAATTATAGTTATAAATATTTTGTAAATTTACATAGACGTTAATATAGGGACATCGTTAAAAGTTATATTACTTTTACATACATCGACAAATGCATTACTTACTTACTTACTTACTTACTTATCTTCACGCACAATCCCTGACGGGGTAGCCAGAGAGAACAGATCGCCAAGTGTCACGATCCTTACAAACCTCTTTCGCTTCTTTCAGATTCATTATCTTCTTCATGCATCCACGTCTAGGTATCCGAGTACTTTTTGACCCTACCCTCTTCGAGCAATTTGCTCACATGGTCTTCGAAAGTTAGTCTCGGTCTACCTCGACACCTTTTAATATTAACTTTCGCGCTATATATTTTCTTCACCATTCGGTCTTCACTCATTCGCTCAACGTGCCCAAACCACCGAAGCACGCCCTTATCAATTTTTGTGATAAGGTCATCTTTCAAACCTGCCATATTGCGAATCTCTTCGTTTCGCTTTCGGTCGGCCATGGTAACGCCGCACATTTTACGAAGAGATCGCATCTCCACTGCATTCAACTTACTTTTATGCTTCTTCTGGCATACCCAGGTTTCGCTGCCATATAACAAAGTCGGTACCAACACTGCGTTATGTATTGCAAGGCGTGCACTCTTCGCTACGCCTTGCCTTTTAACTAACGCAGTCAGGGCACCATTGACTTTGTTCCCGGCAGCGACACGCCTGTCCACATCTAAATCACATCTTCCATCCCGACTAAAAGTACTCCCCAAGTATACAATTTCATTTACCTGTTCTAGACATTCCTGATTTAACCATATTTCACACTTCGTTCTCTCTTCGTCCCTTTCAAATACGTGACTAATGCCTGCAGTTCTGCCTCTGATGGTGCAATAAGCACTGCATCATCAGCATACAGCAGACAATTTACTTTAATGTCACCCAATTTCACACCCAAACAACTATCTTTCAGCTTCTGTAAACAGCTGTCGAGATACAGTATGAACAGCCAGGAAGACATGACACAACCCTGCTTTACGCCCGTTTGGACGTTAAACATGGGTGACAGGTCATGTCCTACCCGCACACAGGCTTTACAGTCACAGTAAAGAGACTGCACAGCCCTTAGCAATCGACCATCCACACCATACCCCGGCAACAGTTCCCACATTTTCTTCCTTACAACCTTATCAAATGCTTTCTCAAGATCCACAAAAGCACAGAAAATCTTCTGGTTAGCAGCCAGAAGCTTCTCCGTGATCATGCGGAGAGAAAATATTTGATCCGTGCATCCTCTTCCAGGTCTAAATCCGCATTGTGCCTCCCATAGAAATCTTTCCGATTTCTCTTGCATCCTACGTGTCAAAACCTTCGAGTAAACTTTACTTGCTAAACTGGCCAAGCTGATCGCCCGATAGCACCCGCAGTCAAAATGTGAACCTTTACCTTTATATAAAGGCACAATGACTGCGGATCGCCAATCATCCGGGACATCCCCCGTCCGCCAGCACAAATTGCACAGCAGATGAAAGCTGTCCCAGACGCGAGGCCCACCATACTTGACCATTTCAGCAGTAACTCTGTCTAGTCCCGCAGCCTTACAACGTTTCAAACTTCGAATCGCACGTTCAATCTCTTTCATACTGATGACCTCAGTGTCATCGAGGTCCGGGTCTGGCGTACCAGTCACGGCGTCATCCCCGGATCCCTCTTTAATATCATCACACGCATACATTTCTCTATAAAATTCGCTCCATCGCTGCATGACGTCCGATTTTTCTGAGAGGACGTCATTAGTTCTCGAAAGCACTTTGTTCATTCTTAAGGCCGTCGCACCACTTCGGGTCCTTCCAACCTCTTTCCAGAAGAGTTTGGAGTTCTCCTTAAAGTTGTGCGACAACCTTTCGTCCGCTTCCATTCTACACCTTTCACGCACTTCCTCAATCAGTGCTTTCGTGTGAACTTTCTGCAGCCTATATCTTTCTTTCATCTTCTCTCTCATATCCTTATCATTACTAGAGGCCAAGTAGTCTAACCAAGCTTTCTTCTTCTTCTTTACAGCTTCTTTCACTTCATCATTCCACCATGGATCTCTTCTTTTACTACTGCCTCTTTTTATTGTTCCACACACTTCTTCCGCTGCACTTACTATTCCATCCCTAAGGTTCTGCCAAGTTCTTTCTACACATTCTTTTCTGCCATCGATGGTGTCAAGCTTTTCGGCTACCCTCGCATGATATTTGTCCCTAGTATCCGCTTCCTGAAGCTTCCAGCTTCGGATGCGACAGACCGACTGTGGTTCTGTTACTGCCGTCCGGTAGCGCCAACCCGCGAACAGACCCCTAAATCTAGTAATCACTAGATAGTGATCCGTTCCCAGGTCAGCACCCCTGAACACTCGCGTATCCATCACCTGTTTTCGCAGTCGGTCATCCACCAGGAACAAATCAATCATACTTCTCTCATTCTTTCGTTCTCTAGTATACATATGGATTTTCTTGTGATTAAACATAGTGTTTGTCACAAGAAGACCCTTTTCCTTGCACACCGCCAGTATAAGCTTGCCAGCATTCTTAACCCTTTTATCGCCAAACTTTCCAAGTACCGACTCGTACCCTGGTCGAGCGGTACCAACCCATCCATTCAAATCACCCCATACAACAATTCTTTCGTTTCCCCTAGCCAAATCTAGAACTTCTCTTACATTCTCCCAAAACTCCTCCAGCTCAGCCCTGGACGACGAAGCTACCGGCGCATAAACAGCCAAAAGGAATAACTTCGTCAGTCCCAATTTAAAGCGAACCCAGAGAAGTCTTGAGTTCACAACCTTATATTCAGTCATAACATCGACCAACCGAGAAGACAGCAGCACCCCCACTCCCTGGCAGGCGTTCTCGCTCTCCGGGACTCCTGACC